GGGGGAGCTGCCACCATGGCCAGATTCACTGCCCTGGGATTCCCCAACTGTGGGGGAGCCAGAGATGGGACACACATCCCCATCCGAGCACCTGACCATCGAGTGGCACGATTCATCAACAGGAAGGTTGACCACCGGGGACACTTCATGGACTCCACTTCCACGAGGAGTAACGGTAGTTCAGAATAGGAAACCTAATCGGGGGAGCTGCCACCATGGCCAGATTCACTGCCCTGGGATTCCCCAACTGTGGGGGAGCCAGAGATGGGACACACATCCCCATCCGAGCACCTGACCATCGAGTGGCACGATTCATCAACAGGAAGGTTGACCACCGGGGACACTTCATGGACTCCACTTCCACGAGGAGTAACGGTAGTTCAGAATAGGAAACCTAATCCGAACTACCTAGTCTGTGCCGCGTGTAGCCGCGGGGCACGGAGTCCGAACTAGCGGGGATTTAAAAATGGCGGCACCCGGCAAGATGCAAATGAAGCCCGGGAAATTCAAATCCCGGGCTTCATTTGCAACTTTGGTTGCCTACATTAACCACCCTAGTTCGAACTAGGGTGGTAGTGTAGACATACCCTGACTGTGTAAACACACCCCTGCCAGCTAGTGCAGGAACCCCCCCAACCTTGTGTTAGTCTTCATTGCAGAGTAAATGGAACCATCCCATCATACTAGGGCAGGTGTAGAAAAAAACAGCCTGAGACAGTGGAGCAGTTTGGGCAGCTGGACACGTATCCACTGTAGACATGACAAAGAGACACTGGCAAATAACTTTGGTGCCAGAATCCTGGGAGCAGAGAGCCTTTTCCATGTCCCTCGGCTTCCATCTCTCCAGCACCACGTCATGGAGCCTTCACAGGGCGGCAGTGACTTTTTGGAGGCCGACGGACTTAAGCATGGGCCGCATGCAGCAGTGCACTGCTACCATCCACTGAACTGATTTATGGTCTATATCATGTGGCAGCCTCCCCGCCCGTAGTGCCAATGGCAGGGCAGTGCCCACAGAACAGCCAGCCAGTGTTGTGCATTGGGTTGTAGCTATAGATCTTGTTGTTTTAGTAACTGAGTTAGGTCACTGGGGTCTGCCCAGCTGGTTTGGGCTTGTTCTAGTTAGTTCTGAGTTATGCAATAAAATCGAGACTTGCAACTACTCAAGCTCACTGTATTTCCACTGATTTCTTCCTATATCGTGGAACTCCACACGACATAACAGCTAGGCTGAGCAGTTTTGCCCAGAGAAGCTGAACCCCTATTAGCATCAAATTACTTCACTCCCAGGGGAGGCTCTCAAGCTGTTGGTCTCCAGCGTCTAATTTCTGCTCATCTCACCACTCACAGAACTGAGGGAATTGTCTGAGAATCCCGGCCCACCTGGGAGCCCGCAGGGACTGAACAGGAAAATCATAAAGCAGGTGTTCAGCTTGCAAATGTCAGACATGTGAGATTCTCAGCCTGACTCTCTTATATCTGCCTCGCTGCCACAGGAAGATTTCCT